AGAAAATTTATAAAAGAAAATCCACAATTGATAAAGAATGGTTAATATTGGGTGGTGAGATAAATGGTGGCTTTTACTTTCTTCTCTTTCCTCTATAGTTTTTATATTTCCTACACTGTATATATGTTTACTTCAGGAAAACTATTTTTTAAAGCTTGAGAAAGAAAAAAAACATTTGTTTCCAAAACTTACTTGAAATGTATAGACTGTAAGAGCTGAATAGAAAATTATAGATCATGTAGTCAAATCTTTTAATTTTACTGATGAGGTAACCAAAGTCCAAGGATGCTAAGTGTCTTGGCCCATTGTCAGCCATCTTGCCAGAGTATGTGAAACTCAAAGAGTTTCTTTCCTCTTCTCGTCTCCTTTTCTTTCTTTCTTGATGCACACCCTCCCCCGCCCCCACATACACACAAAGGTAGCTAAAAAAAAAAAAATGAGGATGGACCTTGAGAACATTATCCTAAGACAAATAAGTCAGACAGACAAAGACAAATACCATATGATCTTATCTATATATGAAATCTAGAAACAACAAAAAAAATACAGATAATAGATTGGTGGTTACCAGAGGCAGGGGGTGACAGAAATGGGTAAAAGTGGTCAAAAGGTGCAAACATCCAATATAAAACAAATAAATCCTGGGGATGTACAGCATGGTGACTATAGTTAATAATACTTTATTGTATATTTGAAAGTTGCTGAGAGTATATCTTCAAAGTTCTCATCACAAGAAAAAAATTGTAACCCTGTGTGCTGATGGATGTTAATTAGACTTGTGGTGATCGTCTTGCAACATACACTTATATCGAATCATTATGTTGTACACCTAAAATTAACATAATGTTATATGCCAATTATATCTCAATTTTAAAAAAAGAACTAAAAAAGTTTTTGAGGGATTTCTTTCCCCAGATTGGATTCTGTTCTAAAATTCCTACAAGATTAGATAGACCCAATAGCCTCTCTCCCAGACCATTAGAGGACAGTAGCAAGTCAAGACAGGCTGAGCCCTAAGCACAGTGGATAAACTCCTTTGAGAATAATCATCTTTTTTTGGAATCAGAAGCTGACAAACATGACTAAAATCATGCTGACCGCAGGATGACTGTCTTCAGCTTTCTCCATCAAGCATTGGCTGAAGGAGTCTTTTTGAAGCAGGGCATTCTGGTTCCCATCCCACAAGAACAAGAAATGGATGACACCCCAGGGAACTGCCCCAGCAACAGCTCCCAACTTTTTCAGACCAGCAGCCCATAATCACCTCATTTCCCTGCTGCAAGTGTTGTCAGAGGGATTCTATGGCCTTTGGCATGCTGGGAGGCAGCACAGATTGGAAGGCTGGAAGAACACAGAGTGAATGCTTCCATCAAAATGACCAGCTGCCTGCCAATGCTGTTCCTTGGGGTTCCACACCCTCTAAACAAAAAGAAGAGAAGCAGGCAAAAAAGAAAAGCCCAGTACTCCTCAGTGGAAACAAAAGTTAAATTTTTCAAGCTTTCCTGTTCTGAAATGATTCCCAGACAATTGGTAAATTGAGAAAGTGGTCAAGTGTTGAGTCAAGACACGTGGGCCTGAGACACGTGGGCCTGGCTGCAAAGCCCTATTCCTCTTCTCTCTATACTACATGTGAAAGTGAAAAATGCAGAGCTGGGGAGAATAGGGTTGACTCCTTCCTATTAAGTCCAATTAAAGAACCTTATCCAATTCAGGTAGGCCTCTACTGTAGTGCTTTAGTCTATGTGTGATGGAAGATGACTCACGTTCAAATCCCAGCTCTGCTACTCATTGGTCAGGTGAACCCATGGGAGTTACTCAATTTTTTTGTGCCTCAGTTTCTTCATCTGTAAAAATGACAGTAATAATAATAGTTCCTATTTCTTATGTTGTTATAAGGATTTACATAGTTTCTGACACATTATTAGTGATCAATAAATGTTAGCTATTATCTAGTGCTAGTGGTGATGGGTATAAAAATCTTAAAATACAGAGCTTTTCTACCCTTTTTTCATGAGCCAGTCTAACATATCTTGGGGCATGTTATGCTGGGGCTCAGCTCCCTGCAGATGAAAGCAGGATTCGGTGAGACCTAAAAAGAAAAACAATGGAATCACAGATAGGGGGTTCATACCACTATATTATATTCTCAATGACAGCTCATGGAGACAGAGAAGCAAACATCCATCAATACCCAACAAGGGGTCTTCTTGCACCACAGTCTCACTGGTGGCCCAGCGAGAAACAGGAAATAGATTCACAGGATCTGTACCATCCATGACACTCGTGCTTGCTAACGCAGCCATGGCAGTTATATGCAAAACAATAGTAGCTAATGGCCAACTGGTTACAGCTAATGGCCATCTAATAACCAAGCCAGCACCTTTCCATGTGAGGCCGAGAGCCTGGAAACTGCCCTCCTGGCCCTTTCCCAACAGGGCCTTTACTATGAGGAAATTCTCTCTTAATTTAAAGACCCTCAAAAAGCTTGTTAGACAATTAATCATTCAAATTAACCCAGAATTAATATATCGGGAAGATCTTTGTATCACACGACTAAAAATTATTTCTAAAATCTGCCCGAGGTTGTATAAGCTAAAGTGCATTTGTCTTACCAAGCTACTCGTTGTAGAAGTTCTTCCCCAAAGACAAATTTACCAGAGTTTGATGTGAAGGTTTTGAAACACAATGTCTACACTTTTATAAGTTGCTCCATCAATAGCTGAAGTGTCAAGTAATTCTCCATAATTGGTATGTGCTAGGACAAATAGTTATAGTAAAATTAATTAGTGTGACTCATTGTATTTTCCAAAGATGGCCACAACAATATTTCCTATTACACATGATATTTCTCCCATCAAGAAGTTGGGTTTGTGTTCCCTCCTATTGAATCTGGAAGGGCTTGTGAATGATGCCATGTGACTTCCAAGGCTAGGTAATACAAGACAGTATGGCTTCCTTCTAATTTTCTTTGGGATGCTCATTCTTGGAACCCAGCCACCATGTTGTGAGGAAGACCGAGCAGAAAATTGCTCCCACTTCAGAAGCCAAGTGCAAGTCCAAGTTGTCACATGGGCTTCTGACCAACTGGCTGTAAATTGGAGGTTTCCATGACCCCCTCCTCAGGTTCAATGACTTGCTATAATGGCTCACAGAACTGAGGAAAACAGCTTACTTACTAGGTTACCAGTTTATCACAAGGAGATACAACTCACAAACAGCCAGATAAAAGAAATNGAGCTCTTAACCAACTGAGCCACTCGGCCGGCCCTAATATTTAGTCTCTTATCTCACCTTCCTTTTGACCTCATACTCATCTCCCATGTCTGCCTTTGATAGAGATTGTTACTATTTCTAGATGGCTCCCTTGGGATAATTAAGCGATACTAGTCAGGCCTCCAACCAGCATGGCTGACTGGGGCATGGCATACTCAGAAGCTACCTTCAGTGTGTTTTCTCTGTTACAATATTTAGGGAAGTTAGTGTCTGGTTATATATAAAATAATTGTTTAGCAAATCAAACATTTCTCTGCTAAAGGAGCCAGAGAGTTGTCAAATACATTTGGAAAGCCCTGTGATCAAATGAACCAAGATTGAAAGGTCAATGTGTAAAATAACGTGAAAGATTTTAGCAGTAAGGCTGCCAACAACAGTTGGACATATAAAACCTACTGCTTCATCAGCTGGAGCGGGGCAGGGGGGAAGGGCGGGTGGTTAAAAGCCATTGATTGCTCAGCATAAAAAGAATGTGTGTATCAATAAAAGCTGAGCAGGAAATCATAAAATAAAAGCATGATTACAGAAAAACAATTAATGGTGAGAATAATTTTTGTCAGTTCAACTTATCCACCTGAAAAAATGTTTTTTGGTCTGCTCAGCACCCATCTCCCCTTCTTAGGTTGATAACAACTGACTTTCTTTGGGGAAAGCTGTCCTCTGCTTTCAGTCCATGTTTTCAAGATGAGGCTGAGATTCCTGCTGCTTCTCAACCAGGGTCCCAGCTCCATAAAATCGGGGGGCCATACCTGATTCACTGCTGCAGTTCCACGGGCCTTCCAGATTGGTCATGGGGGCAGCCATGTACCCTTGTGAATTTTGTGTACTGAGCAAGGGGGTAAGTGGGGACTGGAGGCTCAGAGTTCACTCACAAGCCATTTAGAGGCTCTCGTCATTCAGAGAAAGGAAAACACTGTTCATACAAAAGCACTATCTATTGACCAAGCATCTGACTGTGCACATCCCTAAGCAGCACCTTTTTCCAAATTGTCTGCTCAGAGGAAGCCCCTTTTTCTTATTCACGCAAGGGTCAGCTTTGTGGTAGTCAAGTCTACAAATGCTTATGTAGTTGACGCTAATCAAAGGACCTGAGTGCTGAATGGCTCCTGACACATCACTTAGTCCAACACTCTTTTAAAAGCAGATGAAGAATCTGAAGTTCAAGGAAGTTAAGTAGTATGCCCAATGCTGTCCAACTAACTAGTAGCTGGGCTGGGGTCAGAAATACATCTGAACATGAACTTCAATTCAACAAATATTGATTAAACAAGAGTCCATAAAATCCAGGCCATGCCCGCTGTCATTTGTCCAAACAGAGAGAGTTTTCCTCTATTTACAAGACTAAAATCAGAGGAAGGTATTGAATTAAAAAAAAAGGGGGGGGGTGTCTTGGAATCTTTAATCAGTTTCAGCATCATTAGGTCTAATATGGTCCGACATGTGACAAAACTGAATGCAGAAATAGGATTCGAACAGTAGGGAAAATGAATCCATCACTGTACTTGACGAAAATAGAATAAGACAATTAAAAGGCAGCTACATGTCCTCTCAGTCAAGTGTGGTTCAATACCAAAGAATTCTTCTTCTACAGAGAAGGGACCCATTCTCCTGTGGTGCCAAATCCCAACAGCTACTACATTTTAATGCATTTAGCACATACATTGATCACATACCTTTACTACCGAGGTGATGTTACAATGGATGAGGCTCTGTAATAAATAATCACAACCACAGATCAGAAGAATAATTTGAGAAATTCTCCTGAGAAGTAATCAGTGCTAAAGAACCCTAAAGTGGGCAAAAGTGCATGTCTGAGAGGTTCCCTCAGTCGTTCAGCCTGCAAATTAGGCTCCTAATTGGTGTTCAACAAGTAGGCACTAGAACTGGGAAACATCTGACATCCATATAATGATTCTATAAAAATGTGATCTTGAAGAGAAGTCAATTACGAGTTTCCTCAAAAATGTAGGGAATGATATAGACACAGTTTTTCAAAGGGAGATGGTTAATTTCCAGCTCGAGAAAGAGAGGTGAGCATGTGTGGGTCTAGAAGACAAAAGCAAAGAGAATAGAAAGGCGAATGATTGTATAATACAGGGTAGAGGTTCTGGGCTGCAGGGGCCAGATAGAGAAACTGCTAGGGTCACCCAAGACAGACAGAGAGGGAAAAAGAGACAGACGCAGAAACAAGCACAAATACAGACATAAATAGATAAAGAGAAGCAAGAATGAAACCTATTTAATGGACAGACACACATTAAGCCAGAAGCAAGGACCAAAGGGTTAGATGTATGGCCAGGAAGGGGTTTGGCAAGGATGTGCACCGATAGCATTGGATTCCCAGGCAGTAGACTCGGGGCTTAAATAAGCCCGTAGGAATACTTGTGGAGTCAGGTAATGGAAACATGACAGCCTGTTCAGAATTGGTATAACTCCATGACTTCAAAGGTCCAGACCTGGGGAAGACTCAACAAATAGCGTCTTCAAGGACTGTTAAATGCGTAACAAATTTACTCATGACCAACGATGGCAGCCATGGGTCTGAGTCAAGTTTGCTGAACTTACAATACCTCCAACCACAGAGTTTGTATCATGGACTTTCCTCCCACTGAAAGTTGAACAAATCTTATGACCTGGGAAGACGAAGAAAACCAAAGAGCTGGACTTCTCTCACTTGCATCCATAGCTGTTAATTTCTCAGGCAGAGAAATTATAAAGCAGAACACAGAGCACCCAAAAAACTGGGACAGGCAGGTAAGGTTTTGATGTGCAGAGAAGAAGGGAGGTGACCTTATTACAGAGACGGCCATAAACAGTGGTAAACTTGACTGCATATCAAGTACTAAGATGAAAAGAAAGGGAGACCTCCAGATATCCACCTGGAATACAGAATTTTGTCCAGACACCCTTCCCAGGCCCTGGTGATAATCCAGCCAGGGGGCCTAGTACCTGGCGAGAGGACACCATCCACAGAAAACACAGGCCTACCTGGATGTCACCCGGTGTATTAAGGAATTGGCTCGGGAGAAAGCTTGGAAGCATTCCGACATTGTTGACTGACAGAGAGAAGCAGAACAAAGCTGTCAGTAGAGCCAATGGCAAGTATTTATTGAAAGCCATAAAAATAGTTATATTCAACCCAGGAATTCTTCTCTTGGGAAGTTTTTTTTAAGGAAACACATAGAAAAAAATTTATATACAAGGTTGTTCAACGCAACGTGATTTGATAACATGAGGAAATTTGAGGGGAAATAATTGTGCTTGCATAATAGGAAGCACATTAAATGAATCATGGTGCAGCCATGTGGTACAATACAAGGCAGTCATTCAAAACTATGGAGGGGTTAAAGTTTTACAGACATGGGAAAACACTTGTCAGGTAAGGTTTTTAAAAATGTTACAGGACAGTATGTAAGCTTAATCCCAGTTTTGAAAACAGGTGTAGGTATGTGAAGTATGTGTAAACATATGAAAATGTGTATCTTGAAGGCTATGCATCAAAATCCAGGCTATCGGGATTTTAAGAAATTCATAATTCTTATACGCAGTCCTCTACTCTTTCTGGTTTTTCTGCAATGACATACTTTACATTTTTATTAGTAAAAATAATTAGTATTTATTTTTAAAAGTCAGCAGGTAGTTTAGAAATCAAACCTTACTTTCTTCTATTCACAATACAAACACTGTACCATATATGTAGTTATAAAATAGCTTGTTTATAAATCATCACACAAAAAAATATGATCTTGTTTCTGAATAAGAGAGTCAATTCTCAAATAACCACACTGACTTGCCATTTCATGGATCAATCACAGCAATGTTTGTTTGTTAAACGAATTCCTTTAGGCCAGTGTTTCTGAGATTCCCTCTCCCTGCCAAATGTCTATATCAGCTTGGTAACAGGAAATTCATTCTAATATTAAGAAATATGGTTAAGAAGTTTGGAATATGTAAGTTTGATACATTCCAAAGCCATATATAAATTTGTCAATCCAGTAACGCCTCTTGAAGAATTGAGCTTTAATATTCGGTTTAATACTACAGCTTAAGATACAGTCATGGGTTAAGTTTAACCCACCATGAAATAATGAAGTGTCACTAAAATAATTATTTCACTGATATATTACAATAAGCCTTGCATTTCACAATTTACTTACCTAAAATTCCAATTTCTAAGCCTTTAAGTTTTTCTTTAATATGCTCATAGATATCATCCTTGGTAAAATCCGCTTGTATAATCTTCACACTGCTCCCTATCGTGCACTCTGCATTAGAGACAATAATCATGCTTTAATGAACAGAAGTCCCATCTGCCTCTTGCCCATGGAGTTCCCCCAGTGCTCCTGAGGCCAAAGAACACAAGCCCACCACCCCACTCAGAAACCAGAAATTGCCCCAGAAATATGCTGGGACATGCTAAAAGATTTGTGAGTGATGGTTTCTGTGTGATTCTAAGAGTTAGTGTAGTGACATGGGTATGCATCAAAACAGAGTAAATGCAATGGTTCTCAAAGTGGAGTTCACAGACCACAGCATTAATATCCCCCAGGGAACTTGTTAGAAACCCAAAATCTCAGGTTCCAGCCCGGACCTACTGAACCAGGACACCCTGGGAGTGGGCCCGGGAGTGGGCCCAGTGATCTGTCTGCACAGGAGCTCCAGGTGAGTCTGTTGCAGACCCAAGTGTGGGACCCCTGCACTAAGGGCTATAAGAGCAAAGCGTGATGCTGCCTGTGCTGTGTCAGGTCCCTCCACATGGACACAGCAACCCTCTGTATTTGTCCAACATTTTAGCATTCATAAAGCATTTACCTACACAATAACTTATTTCAATCCTCTCTACAACCTTGTAAAGTAGGTATTATCCCCCTTTTCCAGAGGAGAAAACTAGGCTCAGAGATGCTAACCACCTTGCCCAAGGGCACCCACATCTTGCTCCTTCCTGCTCTTTTCACTCTTCCATGTGCACTTTTCTTGTGCAGGAGTGTTCAGGCAGATATGAAGGCAACAGGCAGATTTCACCAGCTGCTACTTGCTCAACATTGGAGTCAGGCTCAATATTTCCAGAGCAAGTGACCTTGAGGTATAGATTGAGGGTGGGAGAATGCTTTCAGACTGAAGACACTACTTGCTTTTCAAGAGGACAATGAAAAGCACATTTTAGTATTGTGAGAGAAACACTGAAGAATGTCCTAATTCATGTCAAAGTTACTTCTGATATCCAGATACCAAACAAAAGCAGAATTCATTGGTTCAAGGGAACTGAGCCTCCATGGTGTGACTGCCTCCCGGGTCCGTCTCCCATCCTTAATCTCCCCCAGTGACACAGGTGGACCCCAGACAGCCTGACATGGTCTTCACAAGTCTTCATAATTAAAGACTCATTCCTTTGAGTTAAGGAGTGTATTAATTACTAAATTAATTATTAAAATGCAAATAAATACCTAGAAAGGGCTACTGTGATC